TCAACAACCTGCTTTCCCCAATTCACCACAACCACGTTTTACATCACCGTCATCTTCAACTTCTTCCACAACTGAGTCACTTAAACAAATGGCGCAAAAAGGTAGGAGAATTGTTGACAGTTTTAAAGTACAGAAATCTAAAATCTTACCTGAAAATACATCTCCAATTATAATTGATTCCGATGATGACAATGATACAATTGAAGTTAGTGCTTGTGCAAGTACAACAAAAAGTAACTTAACAGTTTCTACTCAACCAATTCAGAGTAAAAAACCCCATGAAAAAGAAATATCAAATCAATATTTATCAGTTCTTAAAAGCAACATTTGTAACAATCCAAAGTGTAAAATGAAAGCGCGTTATGTTTCACACCGCTCTAAATCCATTCATGGGCCAAAAGATATTTCATCAACCAATTATGTATGTAATAGAAATATTGAGTTTATACATATATCCGATGATAGCGATGATGATAATGATAGTATTGTATACAATAATATGAAAAGCTTTGAAGTTGGCAAACAAGTTGAAATGGAAGAACAAAATTCGAATGTTTCAACAACTACAGGGCCTAGTTTAGAGTCGAATGCCGCAGATGAACATAAAGCAGCAGCGGTTACTGAAATGTCTAATAGAAAACAAATGCTCGTTATGGTAGAAAGTACAAGTTCACAAATTTATAGGGCAACTTCTCTTGAAAACAATGTGGGGAACGATATTTGTACAAGTAGCACAGAGACACTGTTACAGGAAACCGAATTGGAGTATAGTGTTTCGTCACCAAACATCGTCGATTCGCAGTTTGATTTAGCCAAGGAAACAGATTTGCAACAAATGAGCTCAGCTTCTGAACTCGATTGCGTAGCTGTTAAAGGGGATGATGCAGATCCATTTTTAACCGCTAAGAAAAATGATAAGACTGAATTAGGCCAGGCGGAAACTAATCTGAAGAAATACACAGGCGGCGAGGCAAAAGAAAATGAGTGTAACGAACTTATAGGTGTCGTGTGGGATAGAAATATTTTGAATAAAAGAAAAAGTGCACTCGCGAGTGATTTCAAAGTCAGTGTTAATATTAAGCAAACTCTAAGTGAAGAAGTGAAAATAAATGCGAATGTCGTAGAAAATTCTATCAATACTAACGCTTGTAAAGTACACACGTCAGAGGGAGGCGTGGAACAACTTAATGAGTTGGATTGTGAAACGTTGGTGTCGATATGCTCAGAACAGCACCCATCAGATATACAAGTTGAGAAAAGCAATGCTGATACGCAGGAGCGGCGGTTAACCGAAACGGAAGAATTGATCGTGAAAAATGTAAAAGTCGTATCTCAAAAACTAACAAACCAAATAAGTGAAGGAACTGGCGAAAACTCGGTTATCGAAAGAATTGAAGATGATAGCGCACGTATGAACGTAGAACAGCGCAGCTCTACTCCAGGTTTGGTAGACCCAAGTGAACTTTTATTAGAGTCTAAATTAGCACATTCAGAACAACCGTCAATAAGAGAAGAGGAAGAAAAATCATATTCGAATTCAATTTCATCAGCAACGCATCAAGGAGAAGCAGAAAAAAATGAAGAGCTCACAAAATCTCAAGTAGGTTCGAGTACGTCAGCATCTACACCGCATCAAGGGGAAGCAATAGAAACTGAAGAGAGAGTGAAATCGTCTGTAGAGTTAAGTACACCAGCTTTGCACCAAAAAAAATCAAGAGAAAATGAAAAGGCAGCCAAATCTCCTTCAGATTCTGGTATGCCAGCATCTTCATCACATCAAGGAGAAACAAAAGAAAATCAAAAGTCATCAAAATCATCTTCATATTCGATTATATCAGCGACTCCCTCACACACCCAAGCAGCATCAGATAAAATAGAAGTACAAACAAACAAAGAGCCCGAAAAGGGTGTTGGAAATACAGACATAATAACGGGGATTATAAAAAAACCAGGCGGCATTCATGATTTAAGTACTATTATCACAGAGGATATTGCGCCAATTTTCGAAAGCGTCAAGAATGCCGAAGAGACAGCGTTAGTGGACTTAGATGTATGTACTAGCGAAATAGATTCAAACAAGAAGCATATAACACATGTAAATGATAATATTCGAGTTAGTCCAGAAACAAATGATATGACTGCTACCAAGACAAGTGATACAGATGCAAATGCGTTTGACGAAACGTTAAGCAAGTCTACTGAACATGTAAATACTAAACAAATGCCTTTCAGTGATAAAACACTCACTTCAGAGGGATGTTCCACTAAAGCTCAAATAAAATTGACGGAAGCTGAAAAGGATGTATACGAGATAGAGATTGAGAGCTCAGCAAATCGGGAAACATGTGAGGATTTAGAAAACTCGTCAACTGAAAAATCTATTACTGCTGTTGTAGCTGATATAAATGAGGGAACGCCAGGTGACCAAGAAACAACATATAAAGCTCTTTTAGTTGAGAATGTTGCAAATTCAACGGAAACTGTACAAGTGGAGAGCGTCACATTGGCTGAAGAAGTAACCAAAATAACAAATTGCACTACTAGTACTGAAGAAATAAGTGAACAAAAATCTAAGCGTGCTGAAATGGAAGACAATGCGATGATAGATACAATTGCCGTCAATCAGGGATCAGTAATCGAAATTGTAAAACCGAATTTATATGCTAACCAAACCACCAATAACTCAATGGCATCAAATGCAGCGTCTTCCGAAAATACAATCATAGCTGATAACAAGGAAACAGAGCTATGTGAGGGCTTAAAATTATCCGTTGTACCTATGGTTTCGGAAAAAGGACCCAAAAGTGATGTACATAGAGAAGCAATCCCCTCCAGCACTGTTAAAGGTTCCAATGATGGTCTCGTGCGATTAGTGGCCGCTGTAAAAGCTGTTGAATCTCTTAATTTGATTAGTAATGAAGGGGTCGAAATTGTAGACAGTAACGATTTCAACGCTAGTCAAGGGTCTGTCGCCAATACAACTTTAATAAGCTGCGAGAATTCGCCAACTGTTGTCGACTCTAGTCTCCACGAATTGGTTGTTGTGGCAACTACTGAAAATACTGCCGAAACAGAATCAGCTAGTTTTGATAAAAGTGAAAAGGCGTCAGTCGGAAATGCGGCGAGTATTGTTGTCACACCACAGGTTTCCATAATAGTTTCTCAAACAGAATCCATTACCACGCAAAATGAGTCAAAACTGACGGGCATTTTACTCTGTGGTGACAAAAGTCCCAAAACTAATTTAGAGCGCCTAGCTGAAGCGGTCTTACTTACCGAGGCCGCTGCGAAGAAATACAGTGGTATTGTGACTAAGCCGGGGCTAATACAAACCGAAAATGAGTACAATCAATCGAACGCGGTAGTTCGCACTGCGGAAAATTTCGAGATTCCCAAACATACAATTGATGATGGTGAGCGGTGTATTGAAGAAAATGGGTTACCGACTGATTGTTCGACTATTGAAAATATATGTGGAGTTGAATCCGCTGTGAATTCTTGTGAAGTAAAACAAATCACTAATGATGACATTTCGAACATGCAACAAAAATCGATTATGGTTACGAAGTCAAAACGAGCGGTTGGTGCAATAAGTCAAAAAGATATCAGCGATAAAACAATTATCCTTGGTTTATCTGCCAGTCACGATTCTTCGAATGTAGTGGTAGACATTCCTGAATCGCTTCAAGCAGTTGCGCCGCTTAAAATACAGCCGGTCGCTTCCGCCGAGCAACTCGACTCAGATGATAATGAAAGTATCGATCATGTAACGCACATCGACTATGATATGCACGTAATCAAAGCGTTTAATGACTTTAAACCCATCAAGGGCTTAGCCACCAAAACTGCTCCTAATGATGCGGGTATTTCGTCAGTCGAAGAAATATCAAAAACTTCAGCAGTAGCAGTAACTGAGCAAATACTTATAAAACAAGAACCAACAGCAAAACCGCAAAATCAAACTGCGGATTTTGACACAATTTCGCCCCAGAATATAGGAATCGTTCCCTCAAAAACAGCGCCTTTTCCAGAAAACCCGCCCTTATCGCATAAAACCAATCCAACTTTTCATTCGTCCTTTGAAAATTTCATAAGTTCACTTAAAGCACAAAGTGAGTTAAAGTTGCCGCGTAAATCGCCAAGAATTACAAGTAAGACTGCAAAAGCTACAGAAGAAGCGAGCAATTTACCCCCTAAGAGTAAAAAAGTTATTTTGCTAACTATGCCACCCACTTCCGAACGGTTGACAGCAAAAAATGTTGCATCCACAACGCCACAGACCGCTGAACTATCTGCCACATCAGATATTGAGCTCCGCAGCATAGACACGAACGAATGTGAATCGAAGAAAAGGTATAGTCTGCGTAGAAGCGAACAATGGAAAGTAGTAAAAAATACGAGTGTACCTATTTCACCCCCAACCAAAACCACTAACAGTGTGCATACTAAAAAGCCTATAACGCGTGCGTTGTCCAAGCGCTGTATAAAAATACGATTGGCTAGGGCTAAAGTACCCACAAAAGCAGAGAAAAAAGCACTTCACCCCATGGCAGATAAGGTTGTTCAAAGTATAGAAGCGCAATTTGGTGACGTATCGCATCGTCCAATAACCAGAAAATTAGCGGCCGCGCTCAATTCTAGTCTACAAATGGAAACAGAAAATGCGGTTATCGAACCCATCAAACCGTTTCCTTCGCGTGGCAGAAAATCTAAACCAAAACAGGAAACACTGGACGACCAGTCGCCCACCAAGCGCAAGCGTTGTGAAATTGTAACAAAAAGTTTGAGTAACAAAAGAGTAATTGAGTCAATAATTACAGAAACAGAGCTGTTAAAGACTGACACACCTGTTGAGACGCAGAGAAAGCGAAAGGATTGTGATGTGGAAGCAACGCTGGAAAAGGAGGCCCCAAAGTCAGATGGAATGCAAGAAATAACAAATGATTCTGTTCCTGCTGAATTGGAGGCATACCAAAAGCGCGGAGAAGCTGGAACGATATTTGACGATACTGGAAGAATTCCTGAAAAGAACCCGGCAAAGCGCATGAAAGTCGTAAAGGGAGCACCAAGTACAAGCAAAGTATTGGCTGTACAAGAAACGGCACAAGTACCAACTACCTTTGAGACTATCTTTATAAAAACAAATGTTTGTCCTGTTGATGTGAATGTGGCTACTAAGATAGCTGACAGCAGCAATGAGGAAGTCTCACAACATAATCTTGATAAGTCTTCGGTGCAAACGAGTGAGAAATTGTCTGATGAGGGTACGATCCGACAAGAAAGCCAAGAAAACAAGAACGAGGAACCGACTAGCCATGAGAATATGAAAACTAGTGCAAGGACGGTTACAAATAGTATAACGGATTTAGAGGCGCAAGATGTGGACGTAGCGAAAACCGGCATTGAATCCAGTGCAAATAAAAGTTTGGTTGAAACCGAATCTCAAGTTGAGCAAGATTTTACGCAACTCGCCATTGATAATTCAAACGAGAAAGTGATTGCGACACCATCGAAAGATGTTTTGTTAGCTAAAAGCGTTGAGACTGCGCCAATAAACTGCCGCGAGCATTCGAATTTACTTACAGAAAACAATGATGTTGCCCAACTCGTAGATATCTCGAGTTTCCGTAGCTTATCACTAGAACTAACTGATGCTACTAAATGTTATTCCAAGAGTGTTTGCGATGGTTTTCAGAGTATTTCCGAATTTCCAAACCAAGATTCGACTGTCGATTTGAGCATCTCAAATATGAGCCAATTGCACGTCAAAGACGAGGACCTAAACAATACTGAGTGTATAAATATTTTAAAAGCTAATATGGAAGCTGATAATCTATTGGAAGAATATAATCATTCAGCGCGTATTATAGCAAATGCAAATTTAAAAATCCCATTAGCTGCGCAAACACCGTCCGATGGACGCACGCCTGCATGTAGCAGTGTGACCTTTAGTTATCCCGGCAGCGACACGTCCAGTTCTTCGACGAGTAGTTGTTCGTGTAACATGACGTCTACCGCAACGGCAGCCGCAGATTTATGTAAAAATGAACCGACGAGCTTCAAAGTTGTCCAATCCCAAGCACAAGTTGTCGAACTACTTTCGAGTACGAGCGCAAGCTTTCAGGACCTATCGCTTTTAGATTTGGAACACGATGTTATTATAAGTAATGATGACTTGCTTTCCGAACTGATGCCGACCGCGATTATGGATACAATGGCTGCGACTAGTCTCGAACACAACTACGCAACAAAACCACTAGAAATGGTGATGAGAAATGAATATGACACACAATACGATCTGCAAATAAAAAGTGAATCGCCGATACTTCAGGGAGAGGAAGCGAATAATTGGCGTGACGTGGAAGTATTCGACATCAATAACGCAAAAGATCTCTATGACAGGCAGGGCGATAAGGCGCAGACTGAAAATGGTTTGGAAGATAAAAGAGTGGTTGTTGACGGAAATAATGAAAAGCCTTTGCAGACACCAAGTCTAAGAGTTTCCATACCTATTGCCTATATAAAAAACCTAGAAGAACTAATAGGTAAGCAAAAAGAATCCAAGACTTGGTATTTGTCAGAGAAACCTTCCACCTCTAAGGCAGCTTTGGAGGCGTTAGCTAGAAGAAACGCGCTGGCAAATTCTAAAGCGTTAAGTGCGATCAGTTATGTCCAAGCAGACACTGCTATGATTGATAGTTCAGCACCACGCCAATTACTCTCTCGGGAATGTTGTTGTCCCTCACCGAGTTTACCTTTAAAGAAACGAAGAAATGTTTCAGGAGTATTAGAAGAAGATTTGTTCCATACTGCAGCTCTTTTGTCAGAAGAGGATAATCTAGTGCAGGCAACGTCAGAGAGTATCATTTCAGTAACTGAAAATAAAGCTAGTGAATTGGATGAAAAAATAGATATATCCGAGTTGGATATTTGCACAAATAAGAAGTTGAATAAAGGTAGAGGCGAAAAGCTAGTACCAGATGATTTAAATACAAAATCTAAGCAATCACCAACGGGAAAAGAGGAAAATAGTGTGGAAATACAAGATAACCAACGAGAAAATGACAATACGGTGCTTCAAGATTATCAACGCGACGACAACAGTGAACAAGTAACACAATCTAAACAAACAAAAGATTCGGAAACTGAAAACACAGACGATAAAGAAAACACCCAGACTATTTCATCTCAAGACGAGAATATACCACCAACAAAGCATAGTAACATTATTGAAGGAGATGAAACGCAGGTTAAAGGTGAGAATAAAAGAAATCGCGAGGGTGATGAAGGGGAAAGCGCATGCTATCGGGCTGAGGAGGAGTCAAAATCAAAACAAGCTTGTATGGAATATGCTCAATCTGAAAATGAAGATTTGCAGCAAGCGTGTGCTGAAAAAAAGGCTATAGAAGATTTAGTTCAAGACCACCAAGATACTGTGGGACTCGAACCACAACATAAAGATAAGACGAAAGAATGTCAAATTAAAGATATACAGCAAGAGTATGCGGAGCACGGTGGAGTTCATTCCAATCAAAAAGAGTCTGTGGGTAATAACGCAACCGAGTTGCAACAACCAACCTTTGAAGATTGCATACTGCCAGAAAATCTGATATCGGAACCCAATTTGGCGCCAAGTAAAGTTAAAACCGCGGACATAAGCGTAGCTGGACATGAAGAAAATGACATTTTAACTGGAGTGCACAATGCAAATCTTGTCAAAACTTTTACTCAAAATGAAAGCACTGAAGCTAATGAATCAACTAATCAAGAACGCAGCGAGGAAACTAAAATGTATATATCCTATGGGGCTATAGAACAAATTGACCCAGGACTTACAATGAATGAAGAAAATTACTCTGAAATCGATGCTAAAAACTTCGCAGCAGAATGTACGGATGTCGCTAAAGAGATTTCAGCTATGGAGTTGAAATCAAGCACACTTCAAGATTTAGCTGGTATGGAACAAACAACAGCTAAAGAGACGCGCTTGACAAACTATAAAAATGATGCTAGTGAAGTTGTTTTAACAAGTTATGATGATCAATTCTTGGTTACTGTTTGCTTAAATGATTCGAGTAATGCTGTGAACGATTTCGAAGAAGTTAATAGCAGCGTGTTCTCCACGAAGGAATATGAGGAGAATGATTTCGACATAGGGAATGATGTGATTATCAGCACACAGGAAATAAAAGAAGAATCTACCGAAATTATGAGCATTAAAAGTTCACCCAAAAGCAGTCCAATGTATTTAGCAAAACAAGTGCCTACCTTTACCACCGATGCTAATTTTAATACGGATTTCTCAAAAGCAAACGAACTTATAGATTTCATGCCAATCTTTACGAATACTGCAACTTCCACTCATTCTGCTGATCTGCAATTATTAACAATTGGAAGTAATCCAAATTTTCTAAACAGCAATATAACATCCATACCACCGACCACCGACCAAATGGAACTATTTACCAGTTCAGCTGGTATAACTTCAACAACGCCGCACACTGGCATAACAACAACCGCTTTAAGTTTTAATAATATGCCGATCTTTACAGCCGCGGAGCTGGGCATAGATGAAAGCGCATCTACAAGATCAAATATGGCGGATTTAACCCAAATTAATGGGCTGGGATTTGTGGTTCCAGAAACAATGCAGTCCCCACCGTTAACATCATCAGCAATCGAAATGGATTCACCGTTTGCACAGTCTCAAAGCCAATTTATGGTGGCAGACAATTGGAAAGCAAGCACCTGCGACGCCATCAACCCATCGTCAACATTAAAGATAAGCTCGAATACTTCTAAAGCCGCAAAACAAGTGCAAACGTTTGATGTGAAGTCTGCGGGCGATGTCAGTAGCGATCTAGTCAAGACAACGCCAGCGATTAAAATATGCTCGACCAAACGATCGAAGTCATCGGCTAAAAATTGCGGGCGTAAGCCTGTTGTGAAAACGAATACACCGTCTACAATTCCCACAACTGCGACTGAGATGCAGCAACTCACACAGTTGTCATCTTTGTCACCGATTTTGCCCCTAATAAAGCCCACAACTACAACTATTGGCCACACAACCAACGCGGATACTGCTCCTGTTTTTAGCTTTCCCGACATTTCAACAGAAACGGTAAATGTTTCACATGCTGCTATTGCGCCCTCAAGACCCTCTGTAACCTATCAGCTCACAACACCAACAGCCAGCAGCATGACGGTTAGCTCAACAACGTCTAGTTTATCAGCACAAACTACAGCGGAAGAAAACTTAACCATCCCTGCAGCTCAAAAATCAAAGTCGCAATCTCAATCACAATCGGTGGCACGCAGTGGAACGCGTGCGCGTACACCTGCGCGTGTACAGGTCGTTACGCCCCAGCCTAAGAAGCACTCTGTTGCGCCGAAATCGGTGGAAGAAGAAAAAACGCTAGAGCCAATGTTTACGAACACGACAGCAGCTTTTTGCACCACGGATTTTGGCATAAATCAGATGGCTGCTGTGTTACCTGCCTCTTACCCCACCGTACCGATGCGCAATGTCACATGTTACGCAAATCTCTTTCATTTCGAAAAGTACATACAACAATTAATGGGGCTCATCGATGTACCCTCCATCATAGAATCTGCGCGAAATTTATTTGTGGATAAACAGGCCTTAGCGGAAGCGCACGCCGCCTTGCTCGCACAAGCTACACAGTTCGATGAAGAGGGCAACGCAATTTCGCAACCACTATTGCTAAAGTATCACAAAGATGGGACTATATCCATACTTAATGACAACGATGAATGCATCATATTGACGGCGAATATGTCGAAGATGGTAAAGCGCCTTTCGCTCGCCCTAAGCATTTTACAGGAGCAGCAGTCGCCAGTGTTGGGCATACGAGCGCGTATCCATGCGCTGCTAAAACAGTTAACACAAACAGCTACGACTAAAGCTGCTACGCACACTTCTACAGCGAGCGTGATCGGTCCGTCGGCGATACCAACAGCTGTGGTGAATCCAACAAATTTAGTTGAGAATGCGCGAAACATTGAATTTAGTGTATTAAATGCCGTGGAGCTATATAGCGGTGCCGGCGGGGGAGGCGCCAAACAGACTGCGCAGCAACAAGTGCACTTAAACGATACGAATGTGCAAATATACCCGAATTGGCATGAAGTTGGAGCCAGTGATGGGCAACTAACGAGCATAGACACTACGGATTTGCAAATAGCAAATGAGGAACAGTTTATAAATATAGATCCATTGCCATTGCTGGCCGATGAAGGAACAACGGGTTATGAGCATGCAGTGGCATTCGATTTTGACGAGAATCCCACAATACTCTCTTCTAGTGAAACTATAAGCGCGCAGCGTTTTGAAAATGCATTCGATGAGGCCTTGGTGGGCGGTGTGGACGAGGAAAAAAGTTATAATTGGGCTGAGTCGGAGCAGAGTAGGCCAGTACAACAGTGGCAGCAGCAGCAGCAGCAGCAACAACAACAAAATCGTGGCAACGTAGAAAGACGCTGGCAAGAGCATGGTGCGACTTCGAGAAATTTCGCTTATGAGGATGCAGTTGTCAGAGGTGTGGAATGTGTAGCCACTAATAGTGCGGATGAGGTTCACGCAATGGTAATCAATAATTTGGGTGCTAAGTCCACAATTGTGAGTAGTAGTGCGCCTAGGATTGAAGGTGTAAGTGTAGCTGATAGTATGGTTCAAAGTACCGCAGCATCTAGCGGCATAATAACATCAACATGCGGGCCACAAAGGAGAGAGACGATTAAAAAGACTGGTTTTCAAAAGATTGAGGCTGATCAGGCGAGGCCCACAGTTCACTGTAGTAAAAAAGTTTCAAGCCGCAAGATTGAAAAGGCTTCAAAAATTCAGCCTAATCTATCGTCCACAGCTGTGCAGAAACAGTCTAAAATGCGTAGCAATTCGAAGCAAGGCAACGCACCTGCTCAACTTAAAATTTCTGCCATCCATTATCGCTATATGCCACCACAAACGATTGCGAATTCACCGTGTAAGCAAAGCGCCACATTGCATTATAGACCGACGGCACCGCAGCAACATTCACAGCAGCAGCAGCAGCAACTTCGAAACGCCAACGTCAAAATGGCTCCACAATTTGTGACAAGCACTTCAAATCATTCAAAGCAGCCAGAGCGACTCAAAACCATTGATAGTGTTACAAATATACAGTTATACTCACAGCAACACCCACAAAATTCGGCACTCGCAGGTGGCTTGCAACATAGCAACAATGTCAGGTTTCTATTAGCAAATCCACTGCAACAACCAAATACACACCAAAGTCAGCGTTTCGTGAGTGTGCCAAATACGCTCGCACCACTGACCAGCAATAACATCCCAACACAAGAGTTTTCGCCGCTGCAAGAAGTCCACATACAATACCCCTACCAGCTGCAGCAAACGCAACCGAATTTTATCGACAATGAAATCCAAATTACCGAGTTACAGTTGCACTCCATAAAAGACATGCCGCATGTCGATGCTGACCTCGGTGGCTCGCAATCCACCGATATGGCAAAAACAAATGCGGCCACAATGACTACAGCTTTACCACAGCCGTCAGATGCCACCATGCTGAGAATGGTGAGAACTAGTCGCGGTGTAGGAGCGACTAGTGGGAACGCGCAGCTAAAACGCAATTTAACGCAAAATTTCCAAACACAAACCTCAGCGTTTGCCAACGACGCTGTGGAAACTTGCAGAGGATTGCCAGATGCAGCACAATCAGCGGCATCGTCTATGGCGCAGCTACCACAACACCAACCTTCGCAATTTCACCAGCAGCAAGTGCAATTAATGCATACCACAAATACGAACAGAATGATAAACGATATGCAACAAACTGAAATGGAACAATTGAGTCAACAGCTTATAAAGCAAGAAACTCAGAGGCAAACAGAGTTACAATTTCAAATAATACAGCAACCACCACAGGCGCTGCTAAGGGGAGCGGATGAAAATCAAAGAATGCATACAATGATGACGACACCAAACTCGCTGATGCTATACCAAACGCCGGCTCGACAAGTCGATGCGCACACAACACAGCCACAGCAATACCCTCCGCAGCAGCAGCAGCAGCAGCAGGAGCAACATTTTACTCAACAGCAGTTGATTGCAGTCAGTAAACAATCGGCACAGCCGCATAGTTCACAGAACGCCGCAGGAAGCACAACATCCTCCGCAATCTCGAATGCTACAATGGCTAGAGCAGTAACATCGGCGACAGCATCAGCACCAGCGCCAACAAAGCAAACGAATCTAACACGTAAACGTGGTCGTCCGCGAAAGTACGATGATGAAATGCTGTTAGCAAATTCCGAAATGCTGAGGAAACGTAGTGCACGCGATACGGCGGAGAAGTTTGCTAAACCTAATCAGAGCATAAAAATAATTCCGATCACCGCTGCGAATAGTAATGCTGCAATAACAACAACTAACCAAATTAACACACAAGCTAGCCAATTAATAACAACAATACCAACAACAACTTACTATACACTAACCCATAATCCACATGAATTAGAACAACAGCAACAACAGGCACATCAACCAAACTCCATCAGCCTATCAACACTAGCAACACATTCACCTATGCATGCGCAGTTGGAACAACAATCACTAAGACCATCATTTACCAGCCAAAGCTCAGCGAATGCTTTTAGTTTAATAGAAAATATGATTATTGGGGTTGAGGCTGCTGTTGCTTGTGGTAGTGGTAGTGGTAGTGGTAATGATCAACAGCAAAATGGTAATCAGCAATCGCAGTCTCACACACAGCCACACATGCCGCCATCACCGTCAAGTAGTCGGCATGATCAGCACCATGTATGATATCCATATTTTCATGAAGAGCTCTTCAATCATACCTTCCGATTTGTCGATATCTAATTTATTTGTTTTTATATATTTTTTTTTTTGTTTTTAAAGATATTAGGAGTTCTACTATTTCAGATTTGAGATAACAAGTTTTGGGTATTTAACGGTTAAATTGCTACGAATACTTGCTATTCGCTAGGACATATTTATTTTTTTAAGTTATAAATTATAATTTTTTTTTTGTTGCACTTGGTGCATAATTAAACAAGTATTGGATTTCCTTGAACTCCCCTTGTGCAATATTTCAAAGAATTTGTTAAATTTGTTTTATTTTTTTAATATTTGTACAAGACTTGAGAATAGTTTTTTTAGACACAAAGCTTGAATATTTATGTTGACACTTTCCTATTATGTATTTGGATTGCATATTTATTAGCTTTATCAAATTTGCAGTTTAGGTAGACTTTTCGAATTAAGCCTCTTTATTATCTTTACCCTCCGAATTATATTTCCTTGCTTTATACTGCACAATGCTGGTTTTATCAATCAGTAAACTCCAAGCTCTAGATAATCAGCGGGGTATAAGAGTGAAAAAAATTGCCTTCAATTCATAGCAGCTGTTTTGTTAGAAGAAAGTCATAACTTGTATCACTAAAAAGTAATAACGAAACTTTTAACTGCTTCGTTTTAACCGACTTCAAAAAAAGGATAAGGTTATCAATTCGTCGGAATATTTTTTTTAATGTATTTTACCGCATAACTTTGGACCACGTCATTCGTTTTCTATAATTTAATATATAATTTTTTAAAGGAAGGTGGTACCTCATAGGTGGTCCCATTCTAATTTTGTTAAGATCCGATCATTGGATCATTAAGAAATTAACGGTACTCTTAAATTTTTATATGAGAATTGAAGTCGGTTTTGTTTTTTTTTCTCAAAGATTACTTGTTTTAATTACATATATCAAAATTCTAGTAAACACTTCGAGTTAAATGCTTTAAATCTACATTAAGTTTTGAGTGAAAGTGCAATTTTAATTAAAGATCGAGTTTTTAATTGCAACTTATATTTGTGAAAATTTTATAATTAAAAATTGTATTTATGTTAAAAATTGTATTTATTATTGGTAGCTGTTAGCACTATTTAAATTAAGTTAAATTAAATTTGCATGCCAAAGAGCATTTAGACTTTATTTAGAATAAATATTTTCAATATGATGCAAAATTTATGACAAAATTCGGAACGTTCCTTCGACAGTCCGGTCTACATTACCCAAGCGATACAATTTCATTTTCGGGCCAAGGACTGTCACTTCAAAGGCGTGATGCGCAAAACCTTTTTTTTTTTTTTGAATGTTTTATGCTCACTGTGGCGACACTTAGGCTAGACCTTTAGTTACTAGAACTAGATAAACTAAATTCGATAGGAAAATTGAACAATGACAGATTAATAGATCAATTCAGTGTTAGCGGACTGACACCGCTTGAAAGGCTTATATCACTCTTTTTTTTGTTTTTTTAGAACACGAAAGTCAATTAGAGAGAGAGAGAAAAATAGTCGAAACAAATCCTCGAATAATTTAGGTTTATATGGTAGATCCCATAGAAAACTCGATCACTGAAACAAGTCTTTTTCATGTCAAATTCAAGTCATTCCCGTAGAAATGAACTTAAGCCCGAGCTCATTGAAGAAAACTATGCGTCATTGTTTTTGGTTCGTAAGACGTTTCGAATGAAGAGTTTATTTCGAATGAAATGTTTATTGTTACCCACTATATGTAGGGTTAATTACATTAAACCGAATACGCTAAGAACAATAATGGTACTCTTTCAGGTACAAATCGAGTAATTATGCAACATAAAATCGTTAGTATTTGAAAAGAACTCTATCTTTTTTTCAGACAGTTAACTATAATCTGCATGATTCAGACTTCTATAACTGACCGGAATTTTTTTTTTACTAACAGCGGTCGCCCACGGCAGGCGATGGCAAACGTCCGAATATAATTTTGGCATGAAAAATCTTCTCATAAAACAACAATAGGCCAATCCAAATGTGTAGTAACATATTTTTTTAGTAATTTCACTACTACATTAAGGCTCAATTAGAGGTGCCTTAACCATATCCATAACGCCATCACCATAACTTTGTCAAATACTTCAGAGCTGCCTATACGTTAGATCAGAACAGATAATTGTTATGGTTTTGGTATTGTTGGCCGCTGTGGTGTAGTAGGGATTGGCATTGCACGCTGCCATTCCGCAGGGCCTGGGGGCAAAAGCCCTGTTTCCAAACAACATAAGAAATAAAAAACAAAGATGCTTTGTCTAATAGTGGTCGCCCCTTGGCAGGCAATGGCAAATCTCCGAGTGTATTCTGCATGAAAAAGAAGTTTCTCATAAAAATGCAATCGCCGTTCGGAGTCGGCGTAAAACTGTAGGTGCCTCCCCTTTGTGTGACAACGTCAAGGCGCACGCTACAAATCGGAGGATAAGCTCGGCCGAACACTATCATGTTGTGTAAGCGCCATTCCATTTTTACTAAAAAAATTTCCTATGCTGAATATCGTCATCGCCAGTAAATGTGACGATATGGTCATCGTCAGCCATGTTACTGATGCGCTGACGATCGTCGACGATGACGATATTCAGCTTAGGGCCGATTATTATGGGTACGGCTATGGTATGACACCACTGATTGGTCCACTACGCTTAAAATGTTTATTTTCGACGTTTTTTCTGTGTACATAGTGTACAAATTTATACATTTTTTTCTTAAACATTCGGCTCTGTCATTGTTTTAAGGATGACGTCAAAAAACTTCATCAATTACCTACCTCTCATTTTCAAAGTGGCGCCAGTTATTCATACTTCTATACGAGCGAACCGGTGCGCTGTTTTTGCCTTGAATAGTTCTCCCGAATGGTGGTCTTATTTAAAAATTAAGACATGTTCTGACGATGTAATTTTTTGACGACTGAAATGCAATCACAACTCCATTTCATATGCATAAAGCATGCTGCCCTTTTCCTCATTTGCCTAGAGGTCAAGCCAAGAATAACTCTTGCCAATAGGTGGCACGTTGGACTCGGTGGGCGCTTGAAAAGCAGAGCAATTTATCGACAAATAAAATCAATTTCTAATAAGTAAGAAAGTCTTAAGTTCGGGCGGAGCCGAACATTAAATACCCGGCGCAAGTGTTAAATATATGTTTTCCGAAAACTACCGCTACATGGTAAGCTAGGTTGGTTTTACCCCTATTTTAAACATCTTCGATAGAACGTTCAGTTAGACATAATGAGATAAACTTATATAGCGATATGTGGGCGATATCACGCCAATTTTCCAAAATTCCAAACAATGTTACCTCTTTTCAAGGGATTGTTGTTAGTATAAATTTTGAGTAAATTAGCGTCCTTAAATTTCGAAATATTGAAGTTTCAAGCGTTTCTGAAATTTACCGTTATATGAAAAGCGGCCGTCATTTTAGTCCGATTTCAATAATTTTCAACGTTTTGCTTTTATGTGGCAAGCACAATAACCATACCGAGTTTGGTACAAATTGGTACAACGGTTACAGAGATACATATATGTGATCATAGGTGGGCGGCGCCAAGCCCATTTTCCAAAATTTTAACATAAATGTAATTCTTGGTAAAGAATTGTAGCAAGCATCAATTTTTAATAAATTAGCATTAATATTTACTGATTTATCCAATATTTCGTATTTCTCTAAATTAGAGTTATATGGGATGTGGGCGTGCTTATTGTCCGATTTTAAAAATTTTCGGCCATTTGGTATGTTGTACCAAGGCCAACAACTGTGCCAAGTTTGGAAGAAAGTGGTGGAGCGGTTACTAAGATATACGAAAATAAATAAAAATAAAATGTATAATATTCTTATTTTTCGTCTAAAAATTATTGTAAATATCAATTTTGAGTGAGTAATCTTCAGTAGTTACTAAAATATCGCAGTTTTCGTAGGAGGTAGGCGTGGTTATTGTCCGATTTTGCCCATTTTAAATACCATCCGTCCTACGCCCGAAAGAAGTGCACGCACCAAGTTTCGTTAAGATATCTCAATTTTTACTCGAGTTATCGTGTGCACAGACGGACGGACGGACGGACGGACGGACAGACAGTCACCGCTTAATCGATTTCTCTTTTCATTCTGATCATTTATGTATACATTTGTCTATATCTATCCGGATTCGTTTTGCCTGTTACAAACAACCGTTATGTGAACAAAGTTATAATACCCTTGTGCACAAGTGCGCTCGGGTATAAAAAAGCCTCATCATGCCCGTCCTTTTGCATATAGACTTAGAGACATGGACGGCATCGGACAAAGATGAAACGGCTTTTGGAGGTTTTCGGAAGAAATATTCTACCCAAAAGTTATAGCCCTTTTCGAGTGAACGACATGTGCCGAAGAAGATGGAATGAAGAACTTTACGAGCTTCTTCAACCACGTGGATACAGTTAATCGTATAAAAATGCGATTGTGCTGACTTGGACATGTCGTACGCATGGACTATGCGGAACCAATCAGAAGATCGCTCGACTCGGGAACCAAGTGTTGGAACACCGAGCGACGCGGAAAGCAATCGAAGTAACAAATGCAAACACCTGTCTGCTCTTGGGTTGAACAACTGGCACAACTTCGAAAATGAGAAAGGCAATTTATCTTGCCCCAAATCGACAAACGGTTGTAGTGCAAAGTAAGAAGATACACTCCTTGGCTTGACTATAACGGGTGATTTTTTAAGAGCTTGATACCTTTTTTTTAAAAAAAAAACGCATAAAATTTGCAAAATCTCATCGGTTCTTTATTTGAAACGTTAGATTGGTCCATGACATTTACTTTTTGAAGATAATTTCATTTAAATGTTGACCGCGGCTGCGTCTTAGGTGGTCCATTCGGAAAGTCCAATTTTGGGCAACTTTTTCGAGCATTTCGGCCGGAATAGCCCGAATTTCTTCGGAAATGTTGTCTTCCAAAGCTGGAATAGTTGCTGGCTTATTTCTGTAGACTTTAGACTTGACGTAGCCCCACAAAAAATAGTCTAAAGGCGTCAAATCGCATGATCTTGGTGGCCAACTTACCGGTCCATTTCTTGAGATAATTGTTCTCCGAAGTTTTCCCTCAAAATGGCCATAGAATCGCGAGCTGTGTGGCATGTAGCGCCATCTTGTTGAAACCACATGTCAACCAAGTTCAGTTCTTCCATTTTTGGCAACAAAAAGATTGTTAGCATCGAACGATAGCGATCGCCATTCACCGTAACGTTGCGTCCAACAGCATCTTTGAAAAAATACGGTCCAATGATTCCACCAGCGTACAAACCACACCAAACAGTGCATTTTTCGGGATGCATGGGCAGTTCTTGAACGGCTTCTGGTTGCTCTTCACTCCAAATGCGGCAATTTTGCTTATTTACGAAGCCATTCAACCAGAAATGAGCCTCATCGCTGAACAAAATTTGTCGATAAAAAAGCGGATTTTCTGCCAACTTTTCTAGGTAATAAAATTCAATGATTTGCAAGCGTTGCTCGTTAGTAAGTCTATTCATGATGAAATGTCAAAGCATACTGAGCATCTTTCTCTTTGACACCATGTCTGAAATCCCACGTGATCTGTCAAATACTAATGCATGAAAATCCTAACCTCAAAAAAATCACCCGTTATATATGTACATACACAAATCCATCTAAGTTGGTGTACGTAGGTCCAATTGATTGATGAGAAATCAAATTTTAGCATAAGAAAATCTATTTATTTGTATAGATTAAATTAAGTTTGAAAATACAGATCCCTTGTGTTGAAAATTCTAAATTTTTCACAAGAAAAAATATTTATTTTTGAACAAATGTACTGCGCTAGTGAAGCTTCTTTAACATAATGGCATAAATGAGTTACTTGAATTATATTTATTCTAAATTATGCTATGTGTGTATTATTATCAGATCGTATTTTATATTGTGAAACATTGAACTGAATATTAATTGTATTGTACTTAATAGGCTTAAGAATGAATGTACATACATATATGAATTACAAAGTAATACTTACACACATAAATATATATATACATACGCATACGTGCATATAAATACATACTTGTATTTAGGCCTACGAATCAAAGGAAAATGGCTCAAAATTAATTTTTAAATTTAGGAAAAGTAAAAGAACAAATGAATAAATCGGAACTGCAATGGAATAACCATTATAAATCTCTTTTATTTTTGCTTCATTCTTAAGCGGGAATCACACTATTTGTACATTTGTGCATATTTTATTTTACGATAGTCGCAGAGTGGTGTTGTCTAGAAATTTTTATCGAAAATGAGTTCAACTCAATTAAAAAATGTACAAACAACCGCATTTTGTAACTGTCCAAATGTGCAAATGGTGTGATCCCAGCTTTATATACATCATAAATGTACATCGCCTGCAAATCGATAATTTACACTAAATAATTTAGTTAGTTATTTGTGGTGTATGAATATTGTAATTTGTTATACACAATTGGTGAAGTTGCATTAATCAAATAAGTTGCCTGTAGTTAACAAATTAGCACAATTTTTTCAATCGAAACACACGGTATTGGTCTAAAATGCGCACAAAAATGCACTACACCTACATACATATTTATATGCAAGTATGACGTTTGAATGTTTTGTTATAAGGAGTAATTGGTTTCGGAGCCGTGTTAAAAAAAAAATAAATTTGTTTGAGAAATATTTTTTTCTGAATAAAAGTATTTATTTTAAATGTAGATAAATACCTAACAAAAATGTTAAATCGTAATTTTTATACATTGTTCAAAACGTTAAAGAAAATGTTGCATGCAGTTATTTTTGATGAGCGATTATGTAAATAACAATTTTTTGAACATGAATTTAAAAAGCATTGTACCACATATTATTCCATTTTGAAGCAATTTTGAGCTTCGCCGTAGTCGAAATGCGCTTTTGTGAGCCGAAGTAATTTTAAGTGAATGAAATAGCAAGACAGATCGAACGCTTATGTTACCAGCAAACTAAGAATTTATTTTCGTACTATATCTTAATTACCGCCGAAAGCGAATAAGGCGAATGCAAAAAAATTATCTACGATTTGCGGCAAATTTTATTTAATCAACTCACAATGAACTTACCTTTCTAACTGAACTGGATGATGATTGCCCACTCACCATAAACTGCTATCAACCACAAATTTTATCAACCTCACTAGTCGACAAAAATCAAATGCCCAATGCAACTTAAAACGAAAAAAAAACAAAAATAAACAAACCAACGAACTTAAAACATTTCTTAAATTTTTATTCATAGTTTTGTCAATTTTAATTAAGGAATGGCCCAGCTTTACTTGTTAAAATCATAGGCATAAATTATAGTGTGACTACAAGCGCAAATTTGTATATCTTGCTTCATATTAATTGATTATTGGTTCCATATCAGAAAAAACAATTTTTCGTCAAACAATCGCAAGCACAAATAGTTGTAAGCTTAACCCTTAAGCTACTTAAATTCGATCTTCCATAACTGGAAAGAATAAAAAACGAACTTTATTTTATCGAAAATTTATCCAAAGTTTCGAAAATGTTAAGAGCGTGAATTTCCAAAATTCTTAAACAGTATCACAAATAATACACCTCGCAGCTTGAGGGTTAGGCGACTGATAAGATTGATTTTTATATTTTAATGTTAGCTATAAATGCTAAGTTATAATAATTTAGAATTTGAAATATTTTTAGTTCTTAAAAACAAAAAAAAAATCATAAGAACATAAAACTAAACAAAAAACACCATTAAATCTACGTAACATACTATTGAGTATACATTTTACTTTGAGCAGTTCGCGATTTCGCATTGCATACAGCTATTCGTCGTATACCTGGTAAATATGCGCTTAGATGCTAATTAATGTACATTATTACATATCTATTGTATTTCTACTTATGATTAAATATTGTGTATTCTTTTAAACCTCTAATCAATCACAAATCAAACCAAAATGTATATGTACAATTAGTAGTGTGGCATGTGCGAATTGGTGCCATTAATTCCCTTGCAAAATATGGCGTTTTAAGTATAAAGAAATTAAGTACATATTTTCTTGTGCACCTACCAAACTGTGAGGGTGTGGTATACAGGATTTTTGAACGAGCACTACTTACTATGTGTTGGACAATAAAGCATTTTACTAGTAAATATTGGTTTATGAAATATCTATGTAGCTACTGCGCTAACTCTTCTTTCAATCATTTTCTTTATGAATTTATTTTTATTTAATTACAAAATATTACATATGTAATGATTTAATTGGTCAAGCGTTTATTTGAATTACTATGAAGTTGGAACTGAGTGTGTGCGTTACCCACCTCTAAACAAACTGTGATAAATGCAATATTTAATCAATCATATGTTTAGGCTAGTGCAATAAACATATGTATACCACATATGCTCATACATACATATATACATATAAAAATTGTATTAAAAAATGCGCAGAAAGCAGTACTTATTGATTCAATTTCGTAACATGCAATGCAAACCCTTAGCCTAACCAAAGTTCTACAAATAGCACGTAAAATGTATATATGTAACACTTGTTCCCTAACTAATACTAAACGGTTTATTTATTTCGCATTTTACGAAATTGTATTGAATATTGCAAACTGTTAGAAAAACTTTTTTGAGCATTTGTGTTTTGAAAATGGGCAATAGAGCTGATTATTACATATGCATATATAAGGCTAGGTTGAGCTGGTATAAAACGCACGGCTCGGGAAAGTAAATAGAATACAAATTTTAAAAATTTTTATATCATATCATATCTCTTATTATTAATATCAATTATTTCTCAAAAAAATTCCTACAAGAGTAAGGCGAATTAAAAGTTGCGATCCCGTACGTGTCCGAACTAGACAGAATTAGTCAGATTTTACTGGAAATCAATCCCGTACTCCGTTCTCTGGCAATTGAGAGGACAAATAAGAAAGTAAATAAGGTCCTCTCTCTGTCAGAAGTTTCGAGTTTTAGTCCGAAGATTTTTTGTTGCTAAATTCTGGTGAATGTGTCAAACGATCAGCTGTAGGGTGTTTGCCAACCAAATTGTAAACAAAAGAAAAATGCACTCTGCCAATGCATGTTGAAAAGTATTAAATTACTTGTTTAAGTGGATTCTAATGAATTTGAAAGTATTTTTAGTTACAAAATTTACAACCCAAATTTGGAGATTATGTTGAAGTTGTCATTTTTTACTTTAAAGCGATCCCGTACCTTTCTGTGCTACTCTCTCGCTGTGAGCGAATTTTTTTTTGTTTTGTCAGGTTTACTAGTTTTAGTCCGAGGAATACGGGATTGGACCTAATATATGGTGATAGCAGGAGTACGAAAACAAAAATTTGCATGTATTTAGTTTTTGCTTTTGCGTCGTGAAAATCTGTAAGAGTGTGTGTGGAAGTGCAAACAAAATATTTCCTTTGACATCATAAAGCCGCGAGGCGATACAGATAGACAAAATCAGCTGATCTAGTAACACCTTCTTTAAATAAATTCGCCTTAAGAAATAGCATCCCAATTTTGAAATCCACTTTCATAGACGCCTACGAGATTCTTTGTTTTATTAGAAAACAGTGAATTTTGTGTGCTCAAATTTCTTACGTGAAAACACGGTCTCGCAAACAAAATTGAAGCTTGAAAAAATATGATGCAACACTACTAAACGTCAATTTCAAACATCCATTAGAGACTTTGTCGATGGAAAAATATGATGCAAGCGTCACAACTCAAAATAATACGTTCATCAGAAAATGCGAAAAGCTATATGGTAGCGCATGCTAATCATATGGGGAAGGACGACTTTACCTTAGGTTTTTTTTTTTTTTTAACAAATAATAACAAAAATTTGCTCCAGCTTTTGCTGAAAGGCAAATAAAAGCTCTGTGTACATTTTTAGTGCATAATTTCAAAAATGCCAAATTTTGAGTTGTGAGTCGTTTGAAGATGGTGTGCGATATATTCTCTGTGGTCGAGAGGCAACTAGCAGGCCAATAGTTTCTCTTCTATGCCGACTGACGCCAATTGGAAATGTCAAGTGAAGCCAAGTCCTTCTCCACCTGGTGTTTTCATCGCCTTCCTATTCTTCACATCTGGAGCATTTCTGTCCAAGCCATCGAAGCCGCTGTATTTTAATCCGCCGCACTATGTCTATATCGTTGTAAAGCTCATACATCTCATCGTTCCATCGTTTGCGGTATTCGGCATCGCCAAAACGCAAAGGGCCACAAATCTTTCGCTGAAGCTTTCTTTCGAAAAGCTCAAGAGCCGCCTCATGAGATTTTTTCATTGTCCAAGCTTCTGCGCCATACACCAGCACGGTCATTATTGAGTCTTATTTTTGTACGACGAGAGAGGACTTTACTTCTCAATTGCCTACTATGTCCAAAGTAGCATTTGTGGCAAGAGTAATTCTCCGTTAAATTTCAAGGCTGACATTGTTATTGGTGTTAATGCTGATTTCTAAATAACCAAACTTTTTCGAACTTATAACGCGTATGCACTGACTGTTTGTCTGATGACAGGAGATATTTCGTTTTGTTCTCCTTCACCAAGAGACCCACGCCCTTTGTTTCTCTATCTAATTCCGATAAGGCACACCAGACGTAGCCCTTGTTTTTACCGATAATGTCGGATGTCGCTGACATACGTCAGCAATTGTGCTCTCTTGTAAAAATTGTGCCTGAACGGTTTAGTTCTGCGACTCTTATTATCTTCTCCAACATCAGGTTAAAGAAATTGGACGAAAGTGAGTCGCCCTGTCTGAAACCTCGTTTTGTATCAAACAGCTCAGAGAAGTGCTTCCCAATTCTGACGCAGCTGATCGTATTGCTTAACGTCATCTTACACAGCCGTATTAGTTTCGCGATGATACCAAATTCACACATTGCGACAAATTAGTTGACGTGTGCCGATTAGGGTTGTCCCAAAATGCATGTGGGAAAAGTAAAGTACCCCTATTTTTTATTTCGAGGTCGCTCAAATCGTTCAAAGTTTTCCAGGAGTTTTATAGTTTTCGTTGGGAAAACTCTGTTTTTCTTCAAGAGATTCCCAATGATAATACCCATTTATATATTTAACAATTTCTTCATAGTAACTATATTTTATAGGTCCGCCCAAACCCCCAGAAAATGCTATAGGGTGATAAATAAAAAATCGTTTGCATTAAAAAATAGTTAAATAAACAATTAAGCATTGTTATTGGAACTCTCCGATCTAAAAATATTGATTTTCAAGAATTCTATACCATTTCTACGAATAGTTGTTTTTTCCATATAAAATACTTGGAAAACTTTGAACGCTTTGAACGACCTCTAAATATTTTTTGATTTCGAAATAAAAAATAAGAGTATATTTTTTCGATATAGAACAATCCTTGGGGGTGAGAGCATTAAAATTCCGACTTTACTTATTTTGGACCACCCTGTGTCTATCCTATATTCGCGAGTCTTTTCCAATATTTGGCGTTTGGTGAGTACCTGGTCTATGGTGAACTTGCCAAGTCTAAAGACACACTGATAAAGCTCAATCAGTTCATTGACGGTGGGCTTTAGTCTTTCACACAATACACCCGATAAGACCTTGTAACCTATGCTGAAAAGGCTGATACCGCGGTAGTTGGCGCGTATGGCTAGATCGCCTTTCTTGTGGGCTAAGCGAACTCAAATTCCCGTCGTCAGGCATGCATTCATAAAGGTTGATGCATGCAACTTATCAACTACTCGCCAACGTACTTGAATAGATCGGCTGGCGAGCCGTCAGCTCCAGCAGCTTGGATGTTTTCCGCCGCGTAAGTCGGCACATATTACCTCTTAGTTAATTTTAAATCCACCTCTGATAACACCACGATGCAATGTGGGAAACCCGTGCATACTCATACGGATGTGTCGAATACAACCTTCTACTAGGTTCGAATTAGGAAGTTATTCTACGAGCCGTTCGAACTAAGTGAAGTTTTAGGCAAGCCGACTGACATTCCTGCGACTTTTTTAATAAGATGTCCGAAAACCTAATATGAGCTGACTATTTGAATGGCAGCACATACAGTAAAATCAGACGGAATCAATACTATGGTCCTGATGGCTATGCGTCATTGATGATGTATATCTAAGAATTTTGTGATATATTTCTGAAAAATAACAAGATGTTCGTAATGCAAGTCCGTGCGTTTTATACATAGTTTTTGTAAAAAATTCAATCGACCCTTAGGTTGATGAAATCCTTGTATAGAATATTTGGAAATATGCATATGCATGTAAATCTTTTATATCACGTCCGACTAATAACTGTGCATATATATTTTGAGAAAGAAAAATTAGCAAACTATCATCTAATAATTTTAAACACATTTCTTTGATTTACCAAATTATCAGTATGATCCTTAATATGTCCATATCTATGTTTAAGAAAATTCCTATAATTTTTGTATGTATTTTTCCACATTTCATTTCGACTTATCCAGAGCGTATCAGCGCGATTGCAACGTTGTTTAGCGGTTATAAAATCAAAAAACCTTCACTAGCACATAGCACCGCTATGGCGAAAAACAGCGGCAGCAAAACTACCCTCGCCGGCAGCAAAATAAAGTCCACACACAATTCTCGCGAAACGAATACAGCGCCGGGCCCGAGTAAACGCGTCACTATCTCACCCCAAACCTTCTCCAGTCCGCTTTCAGCACAGCGCAATTCCTCAACTTCACCAGTCAGTGTGCGTACAAATAATCCTATTATCACTACCGTTGAAGTAGCAACTGATCCCAAACTGCATAAAAAATGCGCTGTGGTGATGCAGGAAAATGAGGAGGTTCTTAAGTACAAGAAGCAAGAGATTGCCTTCATTAACGATTTGTTAGAGAAGCAGAGAGAAATGCAGCGACAACGCGCTTTTAAGCGTCAAGAATTTCAGAATATTTTAAAACAAAAGCGTGAGGAGGATAAGCGATTGATGGCGGAAATTGTAGAAATCAAACGCCAGCGAGGTGAAGCACAAGAGAAGTCATTGCTGGCGCAGGAACAAGAAGCCCCGCAGCGGCAACAACAGCCGCCGAGTATTTTGAATCGCAAACGAATGCTTGTGAAAGAACGAAAAATTAAACTTAAAGCAAAAACAGCAGCGCAAAGTCGTTCTACAGCACCTAATCGCATGGCGGGATCGAATGGGCAAAGTGTGTTAGAGGCGGCTGAAAATAAGAAAGGTACCGCTGTGAGGAAAGCGACGAAAGTACACGTCTTGAAACTAACAGCTGGTGCTGATCCAAAAGTGGATGTGGCGAAAGATGCAAATAATATGAGTGCAATGGGAAAGCAAGGCAATATGGCAGCAACTGTGACATATATGCCAGCAGGAATAGGAAATGATGCGGGCAAAACAACGATAGAACTGGCAAAGAGGCGAGGCAACAGTGAATCGGAAGATACTGCCGTGGGAACATTTGGTGCTAGCAGCACTCAAATGCAGACTCCTGAAATGTCGAGTAAATCGTTGAAAACGGGTGACTTGGTCGCTTCTTATGTTCTGAAAGATCAAAAACATGGCACTACACCAAAATGGAAAAATGTTGTAGAGGCAGCGAGCAAAACAAGTTTATCTGAAAAACCAAAAATACCGCAAGTAACAGCAGCAACGATACCAACATCGCATACGCGACATGCCAAATCCATGACTCCCACGCGCTCAATATCAAAAACACCGACAGCTAAAGCAGACGGAAATGCAGCGCCAACTCGCAAAGGATATGCTCGTAAAGATTTGCTGCTAAATTCCTCACATACATTTTCCTCGCCCACTTCTTCCCGAATGGATTTATTGCGCGCACCTTCATTATCGCCATCAATATTTAGGAATCGCAGTGGTGTGGAGGTGCGGCGTAGCATGCAAGATCCTTCTAGCAATTCAGACTTCCCATCGAACGCGCCTTCGTGGTTGCTGAATTCATCGCCACGCACGCTAACAAAAACAGTTAAGGTACGCTTGAAACGCTTGCAGCATTTAAATATGAACTCTTCCTCGTCAAGTTCATCTGATAAAACATCAAATTTGAGGCCTGCATCAACTATACCTGTCTACCAAAATGAAAACGGAACGAAAGAACAGCAACTGGATGCCAAAAGAAGCACTGCAGAGTCAGTGGCTCCGACATTAGAACTTGAACATGAGAAAATAGAACGTACAAAAAAGTTGAAAGAGCGGATCAAGACGCAATGGCTAGAGATGGACGAAAAACTTGGTGCAGGCTACACAAATATTGTTGAAAATGTACTTACAAATACATCTAAGGGAGTAACCCCCAAACCGCCATCGCCCACGGTCGAAGAGCATGACAAAATAGAATGTTCGCAAAAGTTAAAAGAGCGACTCAAGACGCAATGGGAGATGGACGAAAAATATACTGCCACCGTCACAAAATACATCACCGTTGCAAATACATCTAAGGAAGAAACCCCCAAACCGCCATCGCCCACCGTCGAAGGGCGTGCTAAGAAAGCGATACGACGGAAGACGCAACGAAAGCAACAACAAGTCAACCACAGTAAAAAGATGAAATTATCAGAAAAGCCGTCGCGTAAACAAAAGGAAAACAAAACGCAACAGGATATCGCAATTAAAGAGTGCAAGGTAATCCCTGCCAATGTAGCTGACAGTGCCAAGTTAGATGTAGATGATGGAGGGCTGTGCAGCTGCAATAACAGCCAAAGCGAAAAGAAAACATTCAGTCTAGAATCGGCGAGTGAAAACAAAAACGTCACAGAAAGTCTTTGCAAAACTCCGGTTGGCCTGGTAGACACTGCAGAAAACAGCGCGCAACAAGAAGTAACAGAGCAGCAGTCATCGAAGAACGACGAATGCGTGCCTAGTGACGAAGCATTGCTAAGTAGTCGCGAAGAAAACAGTCCAAATGTTCCAATGGACATGGATGGTAGCAATATTGTCGAAAAGCACCTTAAAGGGAAGCATACACACGGTGCCATAGTGACGCAAGTTGTGGACGTGACACCGGGCAGACATATAAAGGATAGTCTATTGAGCGATTTGATACTAGCCACAGCAGCAACTAGATCTTTAGTACCGAAATCAAGTGAATCATGTGATAGTGCGACTAAGGCAGTTAATGCCAACGCACCTGCCATAGATTTGTCCAGTGCTGAGCAAGTTGAAGACGGCTGTCCGACACCTCTTTCCGCTGCCTTCCCAAGCGCCAAGCCAAGCTCACCGTTGACTGAGAATCTCACTCCAAAGGTACAAGAGCAAATATCGAATGAAATGGTAGCAGCTGCTGCGAGTCTAACCATGTTGGCAAATACAACGAAAAAACCATCAACAGCACTGAGCTTAATCTCACACGAGCTGCAAAACGAAAATGGTGACTCTCTACTGGCGACAGGCATAATATTGCCAAAGAG